CGTTTTATGTACCTTTCTGCTTGTTTTAGCAGAAGCTCCTAGGTTATTCAATCATCGCTGAATGTACCTAATTCAAACACTGACACGACAGTGGACATTTTGTTGGAAATACTGAGGTTTATTTTCGAATTCATGCAATTATTCATCGCTTTCTGTGTCCAGGCGTATTAAATCTATCACGATGACAGATCATATATGAATCACAAATTGTGCATGAAACATTCATATGTACGTTGATTCTTTCTACGTAAATTCTGCCTACCAAATCAGAATTTGTATTTTTCTTTCCGTGAACCATAGAAATAACACCAAGTCAAAGGTGAAGAGTCTGCTCTGTCTTCAGTTGTGTGTTAAGGAAACTGATGACCTCTCTCAGGTTTCCAATTTCTCTTCAGCTGCTGCACAGTGTATTGGTATCTTCCACGTTGACAAACTTCTTATTAGAGATGGACACTTTGTAAGGAACCGCGAGGAAATGAGTCATTTACTAGAAATTACTATGAGGACACTCTTCCAAGAAGAAGAGAGAGCCCCGAGAAAGCTCCTGTATACGATATATCCCGAGAAAATTCGAAAGTGTTATCTCCAAAATCAAAGACAGCTACAGTATGAATTCATTCACGGCATTCTGTTGACGTTTAAAAATTAAAACCTTATTATATACAATTAAATACAGTAATAAATTTTTAGTCATTGTCCTCAGAAATATATTCCACAAGGATTACATTCATACAGGTACGAAGAAAGAAGAAAATGACACAAGTCAGCAAGGGTGTAACGGATGTAGATTCAGGGTGTATGATCTCTTTCACACGAAATTTATGGGAAAGTCACACTCAGGACAGAATTTCGAGATGCTTCCCTTAAGATAAACATTTGTTCTCATAAAAAGGCCAAATTATCTATTTTATTATTGTTGTTTTGTTGCTTTTCTCTTCTCCACGACGTCCAGCGGGCACCCAGCGGACACCGGGAGCTCTATCCCCGGGGGTAAAGCGACCAGGGCGTGAAATTGATCACTCACCTCCAACTAATGAAAGATCAAGAAATGTGGACCTATTCGTTACTGTCATTGTTGATATATTTGTCTTTGTTGCTGCTCCAGTCAGAACTGCTTCACAGTTTACACGGCCGTGTATCATGCGTGCCAGTAAGGCTCTAGACTGACCGCAGCCATAGCTCAAGCGGTTAGTCGCTGGCTTCCCACTGCGGCGGCCTGGGTTCGATCCTAGGTCTGGTCAAGTGCGATTTGTGGTGGACATAGTGTCGCTGGGGCGGTTTTTCTCCGAGTACTTCGGTTCCCCTGCCAATATTCATTCCACCAAATTCTCCATCATCATCATAGTCAGCCGGGGCAGGTACAATAGGCCAATCAGTGGCCGCCGTGCCGAGTGGACCCAGCTGGACTCAACCACCCAAAAAAAAACAAAAAGAAAAGGCTCTAGACTTCTATTCTGAAGGAGCTCTATTCAAACCACAGTTGGAGAAGTAGGCATCTTGTCTGAGGGTCATTGTCGGGTTCCTCAGTCCCTCCAGGCAAATGGGTGGGGTGGGGGGTTACCTCCTTCCTTCGTACTGTCATGCTATCGTTCGGCAACGTACGGTCTAACTGCTGATACCTTCGTAAAATAACCCGCACTTAATACAATAAACTGATGAAAATCTTCCGTACGTACCGTGGACTTCTTTGATACCACAATTGAATTCGCATTCAAAATGCTTCCTTAACAACTCTTTTTTTTTTAATCAGGTGTGAACTTCTTGGCGATAGAAATACATTTCATAACTACTTTCGTCTTAAACAACCATAGCTGAGCTTTTTCAACAGAAGTTAACAATATATATTTGTGGGGGGTATGTGGCAACGAATGCTTATTCTTTGAAAATCTAATTAACAATAGAGACATAGGTTTGTTCATCGTAATTTCCATTGTACATTTATCGTAGGAGAGGGGGTAAAATCATCAACGGTATTATTTAGAACGTATTTTAAAATTATCAACATCAATTTTGTCAAGAGTTATGTCAGACGAATATAATAGAAAGTCGAGAGAAAAGTCTGGCTCCAAAACGACGGTCCAGGTAGTCAGAAAAAAAAAGACAGAACACGTCAAGGGGCCTAAACCTTGGAGTAGCTGCTGTTTACCACCACCACCATCCTCGTCATCATAATAATCATCAGCATCATTTTAAAACTTAAGCATACAGAGAAATACTCGTAATTTTCGGGCAATGATTCCTTATCTGAAATAGACATGTAGCTCAAATTCGCTTAATTACTCTCGAAGTTTTGTATGCTGCTACAGTCTCCTTGCAGAACTAAGCATTCAAAATTGCCACCGTGGACTGAGTTGCTTGTAGTTTGGGACTGCAAAAGCGTCACATTTTATTCCTCAACCCGAATCGCGTAACAAAGAAAATATGTAGATTTCAGAGACATATAACGACATTTTATATATCCACGTGCCATTCCTTAATTGCGGTAAAAGGAACAGTTTGGAGGAAAGTATTGTATTAGGTTTCAAGTACCTGTGAACCTGAAGTTGCGCCTGTTTAATAAGAGCCAACGCCAATCTCGTCCGGTAAATCTTACTGCAGATTCTGAACTAATTTAATTGGATTCAGTGTTTTAGAAGTTGTAACCCGGGAATAAGCGAAAAGAGATATGGGCTGGGGGGGCACATCATCAGCCTTATGCATATCTGTATTGTACTGCTTGCAAGGGACCAAATAGAGGCAAAGTAAAGTTATACCTGAGCCAGTCGTAATTCAGCACGAAGTCATTTTGACATATGGGAGAGTGCAAGTAAAGCTTCACACATTCCTAAACCTGGCACTACAAGGAGAAGCGTAGTTAGCTTTACGCTCTGGCTGATTAACTCTCTGCTGGAACGAACCCTCGGTTCTCAGTGGTTAGGAGGCTGAGTGGAAACATATTCAGAGGACAGAGAGCCGAATACTCTTAAAGGAAAATTTATTATATTTGGAAACTTACAGATTGCGTGAAATTCATACGTGCTTACCCAGCTTACTGTCATTGGGGTTTAAGTGGATGAATGTCAGATTTTCGGAAAAGAGCGATTGGGAGCCATTAACATTAAACGGTGAAACTGGGAATCATGTAATCTCTTCACTGTTGACATAAAATTGAATGCTTTAAAAAGGAAGACAACATTACTGGATACCTCGGAGAGATATTTCAAGTGGCAAACATAAAATTATATCTGGGTCTAGTCAAACATAAGGCATCATAATTGGTCGATATATGTATGCTAACACAGTCCAAGAATTTCGATGCCTAAAAATTCTTCTTGTGTCCCTCCATGCAGGAGCAGAGTAGAAAGGCCCTAATTAATGAAATGTTTTTACTTACCTGGAAGACACGTCAGTTGATGCTCTGTCGTCATATTCTTTGCGTAAAATTACTTTCTGGTGTCGCGTTAGATTGTACGTGGACAGATTAAACATTCATCAGGTTTCAATGGATCGTATTCTCTTCAATTTAAACTTACCTGGAACAAAGAAAATTAACGACATTAGAAAAGTAATGACTACTCTTTATACTAAATATTTCTATTCCATACACATCTACTTCCAAACAGCAGCACCCTAATGTGGGTGTTCAAACGTCAACACACAAAAGTTAACATCATCATGCGCATGGCAAGGAACAACATACAAACAGGAACAGATGATAACACAAAGAATGGGCTTCGGAATAGAAGCAACACAGAACTATATCATCTGGAAAGGTGGACGGCGCCCCTAACAGAGGTGCAAGAATTATATTCGTAATTCTAAGAAATTTCAAACGAAAATTAAATTAGAAAATGAGTGAAATAATCAATGTAAATAAATATCGAGTGTACATCACGTAAAGTAAACAAGAACCATCACATCTGCACATGTATAAATAGTGAATATTTTCTGGGGTGCAACAGTTTTGGCGTAGACAAAGNATATATAGATGAACATTTTCTGGTGTGCGACAGTTGTGGCCTAGACAAAACTCCTGATGATGGTCGTTTGAGGCCGAAACATGTGAAAAATAGTTGCATTGAAGACTGAATATATTGTGTTTTGTTAAAGATATATAAATGCAACAGGATGCTTAAACAATATGGGTTCTCATAATTACGACTGGTATCATACGGTTAGCTTTCTTTAAGGTTTCGCACAGAAGTATAATTCAAGCGATAATGAAACTAATTCATATTTCCCCGGATTCAGAATCTATGTACTGGTGTTACTGTATCTCGAGTGTATGATACGCAACGATTGCACGGAAGACATTGGTCCAACGGTATGTATTCCTTGCCGCGGGAACGTATATACAGAGCCGTTGCCTATCAAAAATAGGGGAGACACACAAACAACACGGTGATGTTACAAGACCTTTATATTTTCAAAATAGTGAATGTATGCTAAAAATATACTGTTATCAAAACATGCAAAATAGCATATACTGGGCAAGATCATGTGGTCCTCCTCCGTCACGATAGCCAATCCTATAATTTCTCTCTCAATTAATCACAGTTAGAACCAAGTATCTACCCGCACGCTTGGTTTTCAAGTAGTTGCAACTGATCTGCTTCCCTCAAAGCAAAGACGCTGCGCTTCACACAAACACGGAAGATACGGAGAGATATAAATTCACGCACAAATGTCACACCCTGGCATGCTCTGACTTTGCGATGGGAATGCAACTTCTTCATGTAAAAAACCTCATACTCATCAAAGATTGAAAAGCCGCACTGACGGTTTGAACGTTTGACGATGATGAAGACCATCATCATCATCATCATCATCATCATCACGTCCCACCTCAAGATTTTCATTCCGTTTTCATCCATATACACAAGACACGTATTTCCGCTGTCTGCGGCTTGCAATCTCTATCCCTCGTTTCGTCTATTTTGACTTAGTGGCGTGTGTTATCAACAGTGACGTCATACCAGTCCTACTACTGCGCGAGTGAGGAACAGTACAGCTGTGCGCGAGGTGACGTGCAATTCGCAAGTTCTCCTGGACAGGGGCAGTACAACTGTGATTAACATTATCACTACGAGTAAATGGAATACACTTACATCGACGTAGATTTGATTCTTTGAGAAAGGTAAGAAACAAATTTGCATTTACACAGATTTATCTTCTAAACGGTAATTTCTACAGATCTTTAATTTTCATGCAAATTTCCATTTTCTAAATGCACAATATACAATTATGAAATATATGTAGCTTTATACAACTGCACAGTTTAGAGTGAGGGCCCAAATGAGATACAGAATTTGGGTACAGTTTCAGAGGAATGATACCGTATGATTGTCCCAAATAACTCTTCCCTCGAGCTACCTATTAACTTCATTCTGCATATACCGTAAAATAACACCACAGAGCACTTGTATTTCCTAAGGCAAGAGCGTTAATAATATCCAGAAAACTGCCGATTAAAAACGAGAGGAAATAGAAAATATTAAAATACGAGTATATCTCTTTCTAATTACATAAAATGTCTCCCCTTTCTCTCATAATACCAATATATTGAAAAGAGACGGAGTGACTGTAGACAGGTTTCGACTGGTATTCGGAATTTTAAACACTCTACCACACAACTGGTCAATACACTTTACAAATCAATGGCCGACACAGACTAGATTTCTCAGTCTGTTACAGTCTCCATTAACTGTTTCTTGGAAGCGGCTTTTGACGGTGAACGGTCTCCTTCCTCCGGGTTCCCAAATTATCACCGTGCCACAGCTACCAGCGCCTAATAGCAACAGCTCACATGGACTGAGTCCCAGCGGTCCTCACACTCATTCACTCACCAACCAACTCTTCATTGGCTGTCGAATACAAAGTCAGAGTCAAAGTCATGTTAAGACCGACGGTCAGTCAGCCAGTCTGCCTACGCGTCCTGCACCCATTTGAGGCAAAAATCAGATATTTCTTACTGTCAGAGGTTCGTGAGCTTGTTGATGTGGGATGCCCTTTCTGACGATAGGACGGGTCTGTCGTTTACAATTGCTGCTGATCCTCGCCAGAGCAGTCATTCTCGGGTCCTAATCCCGCAGGATTCATGGCTATATCTTTCACTCACAGATTCTAGATTCCCCCAAGGAAGAGGATAAGGTCTCCGTATTTATATCGCCCAGGAACATGGTGGCCTGGTTATAACCCCAGACACTGGGGTCCTTTTCGTCGCCTCCTACGATTCGCAGGGCTACGGTGGGAGTATTCGAACCGGCATTCACGCGGTGATAACTGTAACAGCTAATTCCTGACTCAGAATCAGGGTTACTATTTATAATAATTAAAGGGGGACACACAATAGATCAATAAATGGTCGCAGTGCATGGGGTAACCCACCCCCTCCGAATAATAATAATTACTGACAGAATCCTAAAATAGCCAAGAAAAACGTAAGGTGAATTGAAACTACGAAACATCAACATTTGCNACAGAATCCTAAAATAGCCAAGAAAAACGTAAGGTGAATTGAAACTCCAAAACATCAATATTTGCGTTGCAAGGAAAAACAATTTCTACCATTTCATGAGAATTTATTGAAACACACACCCTCTTTGGTTTGTTTGCTTAGAGTACTTTATGGCAGGTACAAGTGCCCTCTACAGGTAGAGTACGTCTCTCAAGCATCGTGAATGTGAACCAGATTCTATTTATTCTGAATTATATATATATGACATTCATCCATTTATTTTCGTTGCAGCAACATGGGCATCCCCACGGGGTCCGCGTGGCTAATTCTTGTAACAACTCTCAGCTCAGCTGCAACATCTACAGCTGCATCTTGCAAGTACAGCCCCGAAAGCCGACTTATGGACTGCCGTAAAGTAAGCCTTATGTTCCTGCAGGTCGGGAAGTATCCACTAAACGACACTTCCGTTCAAGTCCTCTCGCTGTGGAATACCGGACTCTCAGAATTGAAAGAAAACGTCTTCGGTAAGCTAACAGATTTAGAGACACTGTCTCTGGGGAGCAACCTTCTGGTGAATTTGCATCACAATGTATTTAGCACCCTCTCTCAGTTGCGTTCACTCGATCTGAGCTATAACAAAATTGCATCTTTAACAGACAATCGCCTTTTCGCCTCACAAAAGAACCTCTTATATCTGCATCTGGAATCCAATCAACTGACCACACTACCCGCAGAAGTGTTATATCCTATGGTATCTCTGCATCGGTTGTACTTGTCCTTCAATCTGTTTGTGTGCAACTGTCAGCTTCTCCCTACTATGATGTGGTGCCAACAGAAGTGTTTAATTACTGAAGCTACTTGCAACGTACCTGCCAACTACACGTGGGAGACTTGGAGTGCGTCACATAACGAGACCTGCGCAGAGCCAAGCGAAACAGTTTCTGAGAAACCTTCCTGTGCATATGCATGTTTGTACACAAAAAGCTTCGAAATGATGGATTGCAGAAACATTTTAATCACGAGCCTAAAAGCTGGTAAAGCTCCTTTGCACGTAATTTCATTAAGTGTACTGAACTTTCGCAATACAAACCTTACTGAAATTGAACCCCATGCATTCAGTCAATTAAAAAGACTGACGATTCTCTATCTGAACTACAATCAACTCGAGATTCTGGACTATCGAATCTTTGCAAATCTTACTGAGCTTACTTTCATCGATTTGTCGAACAACAGACTTCTTTCTCTGCCGGACGAAAGGATCTTTGCTTCACTAGGAAAGCTAGAGATATTGCTACTGAATAGTAATAGACTGACGACTTTAAAAATAGGCGTGGTAAAACCGCTTTATTCTTTAAATGAATTGCATCTGTCTGGAAACCCACTCGAGTGCAGCTGTCAACTTTATGCCACGTTACAGTGGTGCAAACAACGAGGAGTGTATCTTCCTTTCTCTTGCAAGATACCTGGGGGTTTCAGGTTCATTCCAAGGGGGACACTCGAAGAAGGAAGAAGTTGTGACACTCCTACGCAGTCTAACCCGACTACAGAATTACCTGCCAAGAGCACGCTGCCATCTACAGTAACGGCGAATATTAATGTTTACACAAAAATTCTTTTGCAAGTAACAACAGACTCAAATCACATTGACAGTTCAGATAAAAATGACTCTGAAATTAGTTCGTCTCCATTTTCTTGCATATACACTACCACCTACCATGAGAAAATTGATTGCTCGAACAGTGACTTGGGTGGCCTCAGTGTTGGTAAATACCCTTTAAATGTAACCTCACTTGACACACTGAATCTACATAACACGGGCCTTACTGCACTAGAACCTCATGTATTCAACCGGCTACGAAGCCTCAGAGTTCTCTATTTGAGTGGCAATCAGTTGCAGCATTTACATTACCGCCTGTTCGAAAATCTTACTGAACTGTGTCTCCTTGATCTGTCTTACAATTTACTGGTGTCTCTGCCGCCAGGTACACGCACGTTTCGTTCTCAGGGGAAGTTGGAAACACTCGCACTGAACAACAACCAACTCACGTACATAGATGAAGGGCTCTTGAAACCATTGCATTCCTTACGGAAACTATATTTGTCTGGAAACCCATTCACATGCGACTGCCGACTTCATGCTGCGGTACTTTTGAGTGAAGAGCGTTACATATTCACAGACGCTACCTGCAATTGGCCAGCGAAGCTCAGAGGAGCTGCCTGGCAAATACTGAAGGAAAAGGAGAGCTGTGACAGTCATGAGCAACAGGGCGTGCCTCGCGATGTAGCCCTCCCGATTGTTGTGGTCTGTCTGGTGCTGTTTTGTGGGCTCTGCGCTCTCTTTGGGTTCTGCTGCTGGTGCAGAAGACGGCGATGCATTACCGGCCACCAGGGAAAAAGGATGCACGAATATGACGACGTCGGGCTATCGGGACTTGGTGCAAACGTCCCCCCACATGCTCAAGTGCCGGATTACGCTTCGATATTATCCGATCTTCCTAACAGCGCTACTAATGTCAGTTCCTCCAGGAGTAATATTTCGTCTCATGTATATGACTATGTGGCATACCTGGAATCCAAGGAACCTGGAACCTCGCACTTAGTGCCGCGTTCCCAATGTCCGAGTGCTGTCGCTTCATCACACGCATATGATGATGTGCGGAACCAGATACCTGAGCAAGGATCATATGTACTGCCCAATTCGGCTTGAAGCGGGAAATACGTATACACTCGTTATACATAACAAGATGTTAACGCGTTTTGAAATTATAATACATACAATATACATATTTATATTCAGGCACTGTTTAGAAGTGTGTTTCCAGTATTAAAGTCACTATAACGAACCGCTGTGGGTTAATGTGCCGGTTCGATTCTCTGCTGCAATAATGGTGGGGGGGAGGCAGTTGTCGGAACGGCACGTCTCTGCTTTCTAGCCTACTCATCTCACGGTTCGCGACCCCTGTGCGCACATCGGACTAAGTCGCATATCTGCAGCCAGTAGAAGCCGAGCACAGTGGCCGCGCGGTTTAAGGCAGCTCGAAAGCTGGGATCGTGGGTTCGAATTCCACAGATGTCTGTGTGCGTTCATTCTGCTTTCGTGTTGTTCTATGTGTAGATAGCGGCTCTACGATGGGCTGATTCCCCGTTCAAGGAGACCTACCTACTGTGTACAGGATTAAGAAACTGAAAATATAGCCAACGTCCAACAAAAGTATTGTAGTCAGATATAGATAGATAAATACATAGATAGATAGATAGATAGATAGATAGAATCCTTGAGTTAAGTTGCTTCAAGTGTTCTTACTGCCGAAATAATTCCTTCTTATTTTTCTTGAACTCGCATCGACTAACCTCTGACAAAGGATGGTTCCTTCTAATTTGTTTATATATAGGTGTCCATATAAATAGAAATTGGCGTATTTCCTTTAATTAATATGTCGGATGTGAGGTCCACGCCACAGTGACTGAAAAGTACAGTCTCCTGGGAAGAAGAGACCCGTAGTTCATAGACAACCCTACGTTTCGGAGTTCAGAGCTGCTACCTTCATCAGGACAACCAGTCACAATAAATAAAACGAGGAAGAACGAGGAGTAAATCGGACTGCTCTCTTTGAGAAATACATTTTTATGTAGAGATGTATCAAGCACCAGCGAAAGCGGACAGAAAATACCCCGTGGGCATTCAGAAGTGATAAGGACTGGAGGAACAAAACAAACGGACTAGTTACGTCAGATGGGAGAGGAAGTTACAAGAGAGCTCGCTGAGAATGCTTGTGGGAACTCACTAGCACACCTCTTCCTTCACTTTCCTAAAGAAATGTTCAAGAATCACCTGTTAACTGAAAGTCCATTGGATTGTATCAGGGTCGCCAACCGGAGCAGCACTTACCAAAGCACGCCGGATGAGAGGATAGATACTCGCCTGTTACTGGCCATAATTCTTTTTCTCTTAGTGGGTGGTGGAGTCCAGCTGGGTCCACTCGGCACGGCGGCCACTTATTGGCCTATTGTACCTGCAGGGTGATTATGATGATGGGGAATTTGATGGAATGAAGATTGGCAGGGGAAACCGAAGTACTCGGAGAAAACCCACCCCAGAGCCACTTTGTCCACCACAAATCCCACTTGACCAGACCCGAGATCGAATCCGGGCCGCCGCGGTGGGAAGTCAGCAACTAATCGCTTGAGCTATGGCGCGGCCTGGCCCCAATTTAGTCATTCTTCTTATTTGTGAATTTCAGAAGGAATTACTCAAATCAAAACACTGTGATTCTATTTGATTCCACTGCAACACTTCACATCGTCTTGACTATACCGGTCTCCTTCACTTATTTAAGTACACATCAGAAAATTATGTTATAAAAATATAAGAAAAATAAAAGTAATAAAATTTAAGATTACCAGCCCTCAGAGAAGGTGACTTGTTGTTTTGAGTTTTATGTTTTAATTGAAATTATTAACGAACATATTTTCGGTAACAAAATAAAAAAACAGTATGAATTACCTGCAATACAAAAGAACTAGCACACCAAACAACAAGAATGGCCTCTTTCCGTAAAATTGGTTGTATTTTAATTTAAATGAATTATGTAAATTGCAAGGTAGCAGGGATAGCGCAGTCGGTATAGCGACTGGATACGGGCTGGACGACAGAGGAGTCGGAGTTCGAGTTCCGTTAGGGTCAAGAATTTTTTTCTCCACGTCGTCCAGACGGACACAGTGGCCCACCGAGCCTCCTATCCAATGGGTACCGACAGCTCTTTTCCCGGGGGTAAAGCGGCAGAGACGTGAAGCTGACCACGCAACTCTAGCTAGTGCCGAGGTCAGGAAAATGTGGATCTATACATCCACTCCCCCATAAGTCTTCATGGTCTAGTGTTTAATTAGTTAAGCACGAGGACAACTTTACCTTCCTGGAGGGTAAAGAACGGCCGGCTTTTCTGTGGGAAAGAGGTCTGGCTGCAAATGATTTTCATAAAGAGATGTTTCCTGTTTAAGGTAGGAAGTGTTTGTAAGTAAAGCCCTTAACAACTGCGTCTAGAAATTATCTGAATAACTTTACAAACTCACAGATTATGTCCTACTGGGTGCGAAGTGGCTGAGACAAGAGGCTAGAGACTTCTGTGCTGCGGGTTCCGACGCACTGCTAAAGCGATATATCGATGTGTATCAGTGTCGATGGAGGATATGTCGAGAAATAAATGTTTCTTCCAGGTGCGAATATCACATGTTTAACGTTTTATGTCCATTTGTGACCTACTTAGTGACTCTCCCTCGTTCATCCATGACCCGAGTTGCATATGAACCCTTGGTTTCAGAATTCGAGCGGTTGGATACAGACGCGCACTAGTTCACCTGTTTCCCATATCACATCTACATGGCCAACCGCCATCACGTGTCTGCTACGCACTGGCCCTTCATTTCCTTCATATGACGACGGAATAAATGCATAAATCACGGGTGACCTTCCAGATTCAGCACTACATTAATAATTAGCTCTAATTACACCACAAACAGGTCCCAAAATAAACTATCCGCTTTGGGAAGTAATTTTGCATGCTTCTTATAAATTCTGTAGCGAAAATTTCTGTTATTTCCTTCCGAACAGCGGAAGGAAACAAATTCCCACATAAATAATTATTGCGTTGTTACACGAGAAATGTATATGTGTGTGTGTGTGTATATATCTACAAGTAAAAGTAAAGGTATCCCTGTAACAAGCCGTGGAGGCCTATAGTGGTTTGAGACGCCGAGGTTCCCACATTTTCTAGAAAATCGGCTCACAGATGGTGGCAAGGTGGTCAGCCTTACGCGCCGGTCGTCCTTTACCCCCAACAGTATTCCAAGAATATTTCTGGTACTCATTTCTGTTAGAGGCTGAGTCGACCCCAGGGCCATAGTGCGGCTGGAAGGATTAGGGCAATTGAAAAAATCCAATGACCTAATCGGGACTTGAACCCGCGACCTTCTGGCTTGTAGCATAGTACCTCAACCAACTACGCTACCTCGTGCCATTCGACAAAATCTTAGAGACAGTATTGTTTCAGGTCAAGGCTGCAAGACTAGCTCAGTTCTACAAGAACTTATTGAAATTAGACCTAGTCTCTTGCGTTGAACCACAGGTAAGCAGACACACACACACACACATGTATACATATTTATGAGATAGAGTGTGACTGTTTGACTGCGTACGTATGTTATGTCCTCTTCAAGGCGCAGTACTTGCGCATATTTACATAGGCATCAGCTCCACATTTTAAATTCTGATATCGAACAGATAACTATGCAACTGAGTTCGTTGATTTATTTCAAGAAGCGGTGACACTGATACCGGCAACGAGAGGCTAAAGTAAGGTGGAAAGTTAAAGATGATTAAATATAAATATACACGATTTTTCGTTGAATTTCAAATTGCAGTTTCCAACAATAAGCAATAGCGATCCTGAAATAAAATTCATTAGAAATTAATGTGCAAATGGAACTGATAGTAGATACTGTGGCATATTTGCACAGAGAGAGTCAGAGAAACAGCCGTTGCTAAGCTGTGACTCTGGCAACAGCGGCCGTTGCTTGGAAACGCCTGCAACATATACGTATGCAACATTAGAAGAGCTCTGTTTTATGTGGTCCGCGTCGCGATCTTTTCTAGGCAACGGCTCGCTGGAAACGTTCCCGCGGAAACGAGTAAGCATGCACAAATTGAAGTATTGTTGGAAAAAAGTTTTTCTGTATATCCGTGCCAAGATCCTATAACCGAGAAAATTGAGGCAACCAAGTTCAGTTCTGTATGGGAGTCTGTGAAGAAGGTACTTGAGCACGTGAAGCTGAAGAATCTTCACTGTTAGGAGCCGATACCAGGAAACGGCTGGTGAAGACACAGCAGGCTGGAAAACTTAGCGAGTGCTATGGTGATTATCGGTGCCGTTGTATTTACTTGTGCTCAGGAATCGTGAGTTTATAAGTCAATAATTCGAACCTCCACTCGAAATTCCGTCTGCAGTCACCCGTCCCCTACGCGTAACAATATCAAAGGCCTAAATTAATGGTAAAAATTAATTCAAATTGTGTTCCTGATTTTCAGAAGATACAAAACGTCATAATTCACATCATCTAATTCGACTTCGATTCACTTTCAAACAGAACTTAAGGTTTTAAACTCGATTTAATTTGTAAAAGAAACGGAATTTTTAGAAAACAAGCGCCAAGCGGAATCGACAAAACTATTATTTGGCAATAACACTCAACTTCGCAGTTTTGAATGAAAAAATATGGAAATGATGAGTAAAGTACGCATGCATCTCGCAAACATTCGTGTGTTCACTTTCTAATTATTAATGCCATTTAGGATTAAGCTAGCTACATGCGACATAGAGAAGAGTATAACAGCACGAACACAAAAGAACATTAAACAAATCTTTAAAAAACCCGGATAAATGTAAACCACCCTTTGAAAAGTACTTAACATTAACTCATTAAATAGCTAAGCAATTGCAATGTAAAACTTCCGCTATAATAACTATAAAATAATTAATTTTATAACTAATTACAGGGTTTCTCTTAAAAGGACATTACATCCGCTTTCATGCCTGTATATATATTAAACTCTTCACGGTGTTTTTATACATTAGAAATGATTTTTTCATATTCTACTCTGATTTAAAAATAATAGTTTAATCGATGGGAGAAAATAAATTATTAAAAAAAGTACAGCGGTGGTCTAAATGTCTAAAGTTTTCAGCACTTCATACTCCTAAATTATATCGTACATGCATTAGAAGTCCCTCGTCTTTATGTCTATTGTTCGCAGAAGTCACTCAGATTATCCTTATATTGTATTTGCGTGCATGTATTTACCTACTTACTTACTTACGTACTTACTTACTTACTTACTTACTTACTCACTCATGGAGTTGAGCCCTTCTTGAGGAGCCGCCAATTCTGCAGCTACTCAAGAATTTCCAAGTATTTTATGGAACCCGAAGGTTCATCGCCGTGTTCACAAGAGCCCTCCACTGGTCCCTATCCTGAACCGGATTTATCCAATCCATACCATCCAATCCTATCTCTCTAAGATC